ATTAGATAGAATAAAAGTGATCATATAAAATCTCAAGAGATTTGCCAACTCTTATACAAGCTCTGATCAATTGTTCTATTCTCCTTGAGAACAAACATGGCATAATAACTCTTTTAGTTGAAGAGTTCTTTAACTTCACATATGATGTTCTCATGAATTCTCAAATAACTTTTTTCACATCAAGATCCGGGATGGTCTAACCGGACCAACCGATTATCAAGTTATAAAATCTTGTAAACTTCTGGTTAACAATTTTATGTGTACTGATAGTACTAATATACATGTAGTACATATTTGTGATGCAAATATTAGTTTCACACTTTTCTTGATAAGATATTCATTTTACGAATATCCTTTTAATTGGGTAATGCATCATCACTGGGTAGTTTGGGTCTTCAGGCCACAAAACATTAGCTCTTTTAGATCTTTACCATATTTTGTACCATATTTCACCCTTCCAGAGACTTATGATTTGATACATTCTTAGTAAACACATATTCATAGTGAATATCATCACAAATTATTATCACGAGTACATAATTTAGTTACTTCAAGTAACCAAACATAAGCTCTTCGGAAGCTTTTTCTCATTTATGTACTCTACCATATAGTTTATATGGAATTTTTCTAACAATCATACTTTACAAAAACACACTAAAATAATAAATGAGATTATTCAAACTTAAGACAAAAATGATGAATTTATCAAGTTAATTGTTCTAGATAAAGGTTATCAAATTAAATTATGCATGAAAAATAACGTCACAATAAAACATAAAAGAAATAAGAATCATAATACTACAATTGTGAAAATTAAATAAGCTTTATTTGGAACAATATCATCACTAACTAGGTGATTTTAAATTTATATATGCGTTCCATTATGCATTTCAATGTACAACAGGTACATTATGTTATCATGACTTTGATAATGCAATTGTTATTTCATCCTTGTTTATAATTCTTCTCTTTTCTCACTTCTGGTGAAAAGATCTAAATAATACATTTAGCATATATATAATCATGTTTATAGTCCATTCACTTCGGGGAATAGATTGTTTCATTCACTTCTGGGAATGAAATGGTCTCAAGTGCAATATCATTTTCATCTTTAATGGAGAATATACTAACTTATAATACAAAAAATATGTTCCATAATATTGATATTGCATCAGCATATTTGAATTTGCTCTTCCCTTTGATTCTTGGTAGAATCAAGTCTTTTGCGTACAACGGGTACGAGACAAACACACTTTTCCATTACAATGGTAACATACAGAACCAATATTCTTATTACCATGTCCTTTTCTTTCTTTGCCCTTGAATTCTTCAATTTCCACTTCTGGGGAATATATGGGCTCTTGGAACTTGCATTTTCTACATATCAATGTATGATTGATAAGAATAGGATAACACAGAGAACTGAGAAATTAACTCATCACTTATATTACTTTTCTTGTTAATCCAAATAGATCGACGTGATAAAATATCAATGGATATGAGAAGTAGGGATTTTTCCAAAAATAGCACTGTTTTAAAAAAAATTCCAAAATTAGCACCTAAGTCCGAAAAATTCCAAAAATAGCACCCTTTCCCAAAAACCGCTCCCTACCAGTGCAGTTTAGGCGAAAACCGCCACCCAGGGGCGCGTTTTTCGATGAACACCGCACCCCTAGGGGGCGGTTTTGCAGATCGCACCCCCACCATGCGATCTGTTTTTTTTTTTTTTGAAAATCCTAACCTAGGTGGAAACTTCAAACGAACATATCTTTGTGTTGGGGTATCAGATCGTCGCGATTTTTTTTTTTATTCTGCATAACTTTTTGAGATCTTGCAAGCCGAAGACTGCCGAAGGTGGTTTGATCTTGCCTTCGTCCCAAAATATTTCGTTTGCTACCCCGCACGAGCTTATTTCCGATTTCGTCAAACTTTGGACAACCATAACTTTGTGCTCCAAAATCCAAACGACATGAATTTTTTTTATTTCGCATAAATTTTTAAGGAATACAACTTTTATCATAGACGTAATTTCAAAATGTACGTGAATTGCTGCGAAGGGAAGGTAAGCTATTCCCAAAATCCTGTATATCCAAAATAATTCCTGTTTTGAAAATTAATTCTAGTAAAAATTGTAGTCCTTAAAAAGTTATGCGGAAAAAAAAATTCATGTCGTTTGGATTTTGGAGCACAAAGTTATGGTTGTCCAAAGTTTGGCGAAATCGGAAATAAGCTCGTTCGGGGTAGCAAACGACATTTTTTGGGACGAAGGCGGGACCAAACCACATTCGACAGTCTTCGGCTTGCAAGATCTCAAAAAGTTATGCGGAATAAAAAAAAAATTCGCGACGATCGGATACGCGAACACAAAGATACGTCCGTTTGAAGTTTCCACCTAGCTTAGGATTTAAAAAAAAAAAAAAAAAAGCAGATCCCATGGTGGGGGTGCGATCTGCAACCAAACCGTATGGTGGGGGTGCGATCTGCAAAAGCGCCCCCTAGGGGTGCGGTTTTCATAGAAAAACGCGCCCCTGGGTGGCGGTTTTCGCCTAAACCGCACTGGTAGGGAGCGGTTTTTGGGAAAGGGTGCTATTTTTGGAATTTTTCGGACTTAGGTGCTATTTTTGGAATTTTTTTTAAACAGTGATATTTCTGGAAAAATCCCTGAGAAGTAGCACCCATCTTGATATATTAGAATGAGATAATCTCAACACAAATAAGACAATACGATAAAAAAGGATCTACGATTTACATACCTTGATCATATTGTGATCTTACTACAATATCTTAGATTATGTCGAGAGTCTTTGAGGCTTGAGCAATGATAATTTTGGCAGAGCTTCGTGCTGATAACGTGTTATGAAACTAATGAAAATATAAACAACTACAAGAGAAGATTAGAGAGGAAAAGACACAAGAGAAGAGAGGGGAAGAGTTCTTCTTATTCCTTTTTCACTTTTGATACAATGGTGTGCTATATTTATAGGCACACTTTGGTAACCACTACATCCTTATATCAATGCATATGAATGAGAGATAATAATGTAGAAATAGGGGTTACATGTAACTCCCAATTAAGCATCTAATGTGGTAGGTCATTGGTCATCCATATATCAATATTTACATAATATGTCGCCAATTAAACATGGTTATTATCATGTTTATCAAGCAAAGTCTCGATGCGGTTGACTTCTGGTTCTGGATCCTCTTCTTGTTGCTTCCTTGCAAGTGTGGCCCTGTAACCTCCGTACAAGTGAGAAGCGAATCCCCAGAGGCAGAGTGCCAAAGCCAACCCCAGGATGAACATAGCTCCACCCCTGTTCGTGGTAGTGACAATTCAGAGAGGTTATTTTGCCGTTACAGTAAGAGAACAAATCACAATATCAAGGATTGTTGGAAATTGAAGGAAAAGGATAAGGATAAGGCTGCTAATGCCTTTGCTGGATCTATTACTCAAGATAGTTAGTCTTCTGATAGCAATAGCAGTGTTTCAGACGGTGGAGCCAGTCCTTCCAAGACAACATTGGGTTTATCTTCTGATGATATTACTCATTTGAAGACTCTTCTTCAGTATGACATTGATTCAGGCCCTATATCTCGAGGTTCGCCCAACATTGCTTCTAAAGCTTTCTCAGTATCTCAATACTTGTCTGCAATGCCTAATCATGCTGGTAAGTTTGTTCTGTCTTCCCATGTTGATCTTGAGCATTCCAATTTGGTTGCATTTGGATTCTAGACACTGGGGCCTCGGATCATATCATTTGTAGTATGCAACATTTCACTACATATTCCCCAGTTACCAATTCCTTTGTTTACCTGCCAAACAATGCTAAAATTCTTGCTAGTCATATAGGTTATGTTGAACTCCCTTGTGGTCTCGTGTTACAAAACACCCTTCTGGTCCCTAGCTTTACCTTTAATCTCATTTCGGTAAGAAAGTTGATCAGTGACTTACCCATTCCTCTCCATTTCCACTCTAATGTTTATGACATTCAGGACCTACAGACCCGGAAGAACATTGGTTTGGCAAAACAAAGTAGGGGTTTATACCATTTTACATCCACCACTCCACTTTTTGTTGATCAACCTGTCCCTACTCCACATGTTGCCATCGCCTACAATTTCCAACCTCAACCTATTCATCTACGACATTGGCACCTAGGGCATCCTAGTAGAGATAGGTTTCAGATTTTAGAACAACAGAATTCTGTACTTAGCAGTGAACTTGTTTCCTATTATGAGACTTGCCGTTTGTCTAAACAACATAAACTTCCTTTACCTGTTAATGAGAAATCTGCTCCTGAAGCTTTTCATTTGATCCATGTCGATATATGGGGCCCCTTATCTGTTAAATCCATGATGGTTATGCATATTTCCTCACTATAGTTGACGATTACAGCAGGGCTATCTAGCTTTATCTTATGCATAACAAAGCTGAAACGCGTGATTTACTACAAGGGTTCTATCGTTTGGTTGTTACTCAATTTAACAAATAGGTCAAGATCATTAATAGTGATCCGGGTTTGGAGTTTCATATGACAGATTATTATAGGACACATGGTATTGAACACCAAACTTCTTGCATTAAGACTCCAGAACAAAATGGACGAGTGGAATGCAAGCATCAACATGTTCTCAATGTTGCTCGTTCCCTCCGTTTTCAATCTAGTGTCCTTTCGCTTTTTCAATCACGTTACCTCAAACCTCTTGATCTTTCTCAGCTCAAGGTTTTTGGTTGCCTTAGCTATGCCTCTACTCTTGTCCATGGTCGCACTTAGTTTCAACCTCGTGCTACTCAATGTGTCTTCCTTGATTTTTCTATTGGTATTAAGCGATATAAAATGCTTGACATCAGTGATCATCGTGCGTTCATTTCTCGCAATGTGATCTTCTATGAAGACATCCTTCCCTTTAAAGGCTCTTCTGATTCTCCTCCTCCTCCCTCCATTACTTCACCAGCACCCTTCTCCATTCCCATTCTGCCACCCCAGCAGCGTGTTGTCATGGAGTCAGCTGAATCTAGAACTTCTTCTCATCCTTCACCTACAGCTCCTTTTGAAACCATTCCACCTATCCCAGAGTCTGCTCCTTCTCCCCTTGCACATGAAACCTGGTATGCTACTGCTCCTCATCTTGATACTGTACTTAGTGATGATGATAATGTTGAACTGGAACCTCGGGCTGAGTTAGAGGGGAGGCCAGTTCGTGGTAATAGAGGCAAACTCCCTGCTAAACTGGAAGACTATTATGTGGGATATGCCAGCAAATTCTCAATGGATGATTACTTGAATTTTGATCAGTTATCACCTACTGATAGTGTTTATGCTTTAAGTCTTGTCTCGCAACTTGAACCTACCACTTATGGTGAAGCAGTTGCTTTTGAGCATTGGTGTAAGCCAATGGATGAAGAGACACATGCCTGAGAAGAGAATTATACTTGGGATGTTGTTCCACTTCCCCCTAGTAAGAAAGGCATTGGAAACAAATGGGTATTTAAGATCAAATGCAGACCTGATGGTTCCATAGAAAGGAACAAGGCAAGATTAGTTGCAAAAGGTTTTACAGAAGTTTATGGTGTGGACTTTCTAGACACTTATTCCCTTGTTGCTAAAATTAACTCTGTCAAAGCTTTACTAGCTGTTGTTGCTAACAAAGGGTGGGAGCTTGATCAGATGGATGTTTCAAACGCTTTCCTTCATGGTGATTTAGAAGAAGAGGTCTACATGGCCTTACCACCAGGTGATTCTAGAGCACATGGGGCTGAAAAATTAGTGTGCAGACTTCGTAAATCAGTGTATGGTATTAAACAAGGAAGCAGACAGTGGTTTTCCAAGATTACCTCTTCTTTGCTTAGACATGGTTTCTCTCAATCAACATCTGATTACTCCATGTGTACTAAATGGGTGCATAGTAGCTTTGTGGTTGCTCTTGTTTATGTCGATGACATAATCATTGGAGGGGAAGACAGAAGAGATGTTGAGGAAGTTAAGTTGTTCTTGAGCTAGCATTTCAAAATCAAAGACTTGGGAAGTCTGAAGTATTTTTTGGGACTCGAGATTTGCAGAAGCAGTTCAGGTATTGCAGTATGCTAACGCAAATACTGTTTAGAGTTATTGAAGGATACAGGTTACTTGGATGCAAAGCCTTGCAAATCTCCTTTGGATCCTAAGGTTACTTTTAGGGCTAAGCAAGGTCAACCAATGGATGATCCTGAACAGTATCGACGTTTGAAAGGGCGACTACATTATCTCACCACAACTCGACCTGACTTGACATTTCCTATGCAGCAGCTCAGTCAGTTTCAGAAGGACCCTTACACTGAGCATTTCCAGACAACTTTCAGAATCCTTAGATATATCAAAGGTTCTCTCAATCAAGGCATTTTCTTTGCCTCTGATTTATCCTTACAACTAACAGGATATAGCGATTCTAATTGGGCCAGTTTCCCTAACTCTAGAAGATCTGTTAGTGGATATTGCATGTTTCTTGGGAGTTACTTGGTTACATGGAAAGAGAAAAATCAAACCACAGTCTGTCGATCTTCCTCCGAAGCCGAGTATGGAGCATTAGCTCAATTAGTCTGTGAATTGCAGTGGATGAAAGGGCTACTTGCAGAATTGAGTGGATGTATCTCTGCCTATATTTGTGTTTTGTGATAACATATCGGTCCATTCATATTGCAAAAAACCCGGTGTTTCACTAACGAACTAAGCACATAAAGATTGATGTGCATGTGACTAGAGACAGGGTGAAGTCAATATTAATCAAGATGGTGTATGTTCGATCTGCCGTTCAAGCTGTCGATTTGTTCACTAAAGCATTGAGTCTATTTCAGATGAAGGAGTTACTGGACAAGCTTGGAGGGCACACCCTCTAGCTTGAGGGGGGCTGTCAAAGTACATGATCAGATCCACACATCCTTTTGATTCTCATGGAGATGAAGCAACTATTGCAGAGTTGACGTGCAGCAGCAGAGGAGAAGCACTTATGGAACAAGACTGCATGAGAAATGTTTCGGGCTTGAATACGATTCGCTTTATGGGGAGCATTTCGAGCATTTGCCTAGATGTTTCGTTTCATTTAAATCTATTTGTAATTCTATTTTATTAGTGTTGTTAGTTTGCTATGCGCTACTAAACAGTGATTATGGATTTTGTATAAATAACAAGAGACCCTACAGCTGTTTGCTTTGAGGGTTTCCGATCCACCTTTCCTCAGCTTGATATTTTCTTCACACTGACCCAATTTTCACTGGAGAGGCTCTTTCCATTTCTCGAATGTCCTTTAAAAGGGGACCTTCAAGGATAATGTCATTCTTGATTCAAGAATGTCTCCAAAAGCTTGTAGTTGTCTCATCTCTTATACTACAACTGACTGCACTTTACATTAAGGGCACTACTCTTATGATGGCTTTCCATAGGTTGGAGTGGTTGCTAGTCTTAATGGATACAATTTCCCCTTTTGGATTTGAAATATTTTCCTTGAAATACATGAACACAAAGGCCAAATTCGTTATTAAAAACAGTTATTCAAGCTTAATCCTGTAAGCAATGTTGAGGCCTCTATCAGATATCAGCTCCAAACTCCCTGACTCTTAGTTTTATAAATATTTTCCAAGGTCATGAAGAGGACTTTCCTCTTTCCCTCGTAGTATACCAGCAAAAAGCTGCATATTTTTCTATCGATGTCTTCACATAAATAGATAGGCAACAAAGTACTTTGAATGACATAATTAGGGAGGGCATTTAGCATAGAGAGAGCAAGTGTAACTCTACCCCAAGGAAGAGGGTTCTTGCTTTCCATGTTGAAAGCTTATATTCCATCTTTTCTAGGATGTATTTATAGGTGAGTTTGATGATTCTACATGTAGAACTTGGACTACTAGATACTTTTCTATATTACATATATCATGAGTGCCAAGTCTCCCACAAATAGTACATGCCTCATGATCTCTCTCGTGTTTTTAGAGAAAAAGACACTCGACTTATCTTTGTTAATAACTTCTCCTTAGGCATCAAATGAGAGTATCAAAAGTTCAAAACAAAATCAGTCTGATTAAGAATGGTTTCCATAAACAAAACTAAATCATTTACAAAAAAAAAAAAAAAGATGAGAAAGAGGGCCTCTAGCTTAAAGTCTAATGGGTGTCCAGTTTTTGTTCTTAACGCTAAGGAGATGCAATAACGAAGCCTCTCAAGGAGTAAAGGGATAAGGCAAGAGAGGACATCCATGACACAGTCCCCGACAAGGTTTGTAACACATTACATGATAGGTTGATCCAGTGCTGAGGTATGCCAGTAGCAAGTGGATTTCGGGAACTTCCTATCAATCCGATCATAAGTCTTTGCAAGATCGACCTTTAGGATCATGGTTCCTTTCTTTCTCACATCCTTGTCATCATATTTACTGTTTCATGCGGAACGAGGATATTGTTAATGATATGCCTATCTTGTACAAAATTAGATTCGCCAATAAGGTCCCATTAATGTATCGAATTCGCCCTTATTCAGCATAAAAAGATTGAATGAAGTTGTGCAAATCCTCGTCAATGAGATTCCAACTACTTCGGTAAAACATTACTTGGCAATTTTCCTTGCTAGGTGCTTTATGACTTTCATTCCCTTAATAATTTCATTGATTTCCATCGCACTAGGTGGGATACCCATATACTCCGGATTTGAAGTATCAACGGATGGAAAATAACATCTATACGAGGTCGAACAAGTTCTATATCCTTTGTGTAGAGAGTAACAAAATACTCACTTTCCATACTGCCAATACAAGTAAGATTGGGCGATGATATGGATATCACAAGCAAAAGCGAAGGGGTGGGGCGACTGAGACCGCTTTGAGTCCTTCGAATCTTTCCAGTACTCGTCCACCTCAGAGGTTTAACAAGGCAGAGACGGCGCAGCAATCGACGATCAATCTTCACTAACAACAACCCTCTTCTCATTCTTTCCTTGGTTCAATGGATCTCGACCGTCGCCACTTTCTTATCACTAGAGGACAATGTAGTCAAAAGCGAGTTTCTACGTGAAAACGTTTTGGCAATCTAGAAGCGTAAAATCGTAAGTTTTTAAGTTTTATAGCGGAGTTTTTAACTACGTAAGTTATAAAGACTGAGATTTAGTGTAAAAGCGTTTTAGTGACCTAACAACGTAAAATCGTAAGTTTTTAAGTTTCAAAGCGCGATTTTGACTACATTGCTAAAGGCGACAACTTTGGTGGGGGATAAGAGTGAAAGATTGTGTGGTGCATGTCGGGTTGGGGAGGCGAGGTCAGAATTGGGGAGATTGCGAAAGGGAGGTTGAGATTTAAAGAATGAGGAGGGGCGGCCATATCTGGTGGATGCCGAGAAGCATTGGATGGGGCAGAGTAGAGGGTGGTCTTTAGTTTCTATTTAATCCAGCGGTTATTTATCGGTGCACCGAGTTTTCTCGGTTAGCGACTAGCGATTGACGGTTATGCAAATTAATTAATATATAAAAGCTTATGTTAGATTAATATATAAAAGCTTATGTTAGAGTTACTATTCATTAGTGGCTCTCACACTCCTCCAAGTGCAAGTGGGAAAGTTCCAAGTCCTTCTTTTACCCTACTCTCCATTCTACAACCTTTATATTTAGTTATTGTTTGCTAGGTTTTCGTCTATGGTTTTCTGCATAAATTATCGCCTTTGTGTTTTATTATTGTTCATTAGGTTTTCGCCTATGGCTTTTTGCACAAATCATTGCCTTTGTGTTTAGTTATTGTTTGCTAGGTTTTCGTCTAAGTCTTTTTGCACAAATCATCGCCTTTGTCCACCATTTTGCAGGCCATCTCGAAATAATGTCGGCGGAATCCAAAGTTGTTCCCCACCATCATTTCTCAAGGCCATTACCACGAGTTTTGTATCGGGATCGAGTTTCGTTCTCTTTAGTGTTTTTTTCTTTTTTTCTTTCTTTTTTGTTGAGCATTATCACAATTGAACACATTGGTATCCTAATTTGAACACACATCATCGTCTTGCCCACCATTTTGCAACTCATCTCGAAATATTGTCGGCGGAATCCTAAATTGTTTCCCATCATCGTTTCTCAAGGCCGATACCACGAGTTTTGTATCGGGATCGAGTTTCGTTCTCTTTAGTATTTTTTTTTCTTTCACTTTTTTTTCCTTTTTGTTGAGCATGATCACAATTGAACCCAAATCCATGGGTATCCAACCTAATTAGATCTAGTGAAAGCGGCTTGATACCGACTTTAGCATTTATAAATTTCTTTTTATTTTCTTCTTTTGGTTGGGAAGACAATTGAACCTGAATCTAAGGTTTTGACAAGTGTTGTATTGTGAGTGAGCTTTATCCGCTTTTATAGTTGGCAGGTTGGACTACGTGTGAATTTGTTAAAAAATTGTTCTAAGCGAGTTGAACACGTTGTTG